CAGGAATGGTTTCTTTTTCTTGTCAGTTTTGAGCTTCATTCGTAACACTCTAGTACAAGGACTTCTTTTCAAGGGAATTCAGAAATGTAGGCATTAATTCGTTTCTAAGTGTTACGTATATAGTAAGTGCAAAATAAACATTTGTTCCATTGAATCACTACCCCTCAACACAAAAAGTAAAGCACTACTAACCTGCCTTTTCAATGGCTCCCTGAATTGCAATGGAACCAAGTTTAGTGGCTGGCAGAGAGGAAAGGCTGCCTAGAAAGGATCCAATGGGTGTTCTTGCAGCACTTACTATGACCACTTCCTGGCAAGACAGAAGATGGTAAAAATTATTATATTTAAATATTTTACCCACATCATCTTTCATAAATAAACAATTCATAGATATATTATCCAAGAAACAGACTTTTTATGAATGACTAATTACCCATCAAAGATGAAAATAATATTAGAACAGCCCTAAAATCAGTTCAATGCTGGTACTTAATGATTTAAGACCTAATAGAAAACCTAAGAAAAACCAGTTCTAAAATAGGCATAGACCAGAAGCTTAAGATTCAATTCTATTCCTTAGTCAAAATTTAAGAAATGATCAGTTTACCCTTGTTAACTGCATAAAAAGCCCTAATTAAAGGGCTTCCTTACTGAAGGCAAACTCTGGTCTAGGGTCAAGACCTGTATGTTAGTGGGGGCATACCACTTAACTAGGACACAGCCAGAGCCATAATTTCTTAAACTATTAATAAGACAATATAAAATTTAAGAAAAAGATAAAAGCTCTCTTAAATATTGCAAAACACTATTTTAACAATTCTCTCCTTACGCTTGCCTTCTACATGCTCTTAGATAAATACATACATACATACATAAATTCTCATAGATAATAAGAGAACCATTCCCTAGATTCTGGTCGAAGGCTATTACTAAGTCTTTTTAGAAACCGTTATGGAACAAAAGGAGGACCCCTCAGGAAGCACTAGGTGACCAGGTGATGGTCCTTCCTGTCTAATCCCCAGTCTCCTTCAGCCCCTTTCTTCTAGTATCTTCCATGTGGCCTCTGCAATGTACCAACCAACACAATATAATGGGGGTTCCCAAAAGTAAAGGAAGAACATTGCCTAGTTTTAGAGAAGGTTGTTTACCAAAGGCAATGATTGGGGAAGAAGCAGAAATTATGCAGGGCGCTAGACTGAAATTTTTTATGGTAATTTGGGAGTCTGACTTAATATTTCAATAATTAGCTATTCCTAACCACTGAATCATCCCAAGCTGACCCTCATCTATACATGCTTTAGAATATGCATTTTTAATAGACTACATTTCCTTTAAATTCTTGAAATTTTAAAGCACAATTTAAATTTATACTTACATTCAAAGTGGGTTTTGATACATAACTTCGTTCCACATATCTTATTTCCTGTAATATAAATATTTGTTTTGATGTAAAAAATATTAACCTACATCACTTTATACTTCTCAGTAACGGGATTATGGTTATTTCTTTTTGCTGCATTATACTTTAATTTCTAAATTTTCCTGTTCGCATATATCACTGTTACAATTTTTTTTTTTTTTTTTTTTTTTCTTTTTTCCCTTTTAAAATTTTTTTTTTTTTTTTTTTTTTGCGGTACGCGGGCCTCTCACCGTTGTGGCCTCTCCCACTGTGGAGCACGGGCTCCAGACGCGCAGACACAGCGGCCATGGCTCACGGGCCCAGCCGCTCCACGGCACGTGGGATCCTCCCGGACCGGGGCACGAACCCACGTCCCCTGCACCGGCAGGCGGACTCCCAACCACTGCGCCACCAGGGAAGCCCTACAATTTTTAAAATTACTACTTTTGTAATATTCTCGTCTGATTAACTGTTCATTGGAAATGTATGTTTTAACTTCTGATGAACTTATCATCTTAAAATGTCTAAGCCTTTTTAAGTATAAGCTTTATAAAATGTAATTTTAAGTTAAATCTAAGTTCTAAATTAAGTAAGCCCAAATTGGGCTGCTGCTTATATAACCTACTTACACTGAAGGGTTCTAGCATATTATCTGTGACCCAACTCTGAATTTAAATTTCCTACTTGTAGTAAACATGCCAGTCATTGCCTCTCCAGCTACACCCCTTTCTCCAAAGGGTCTGGAAGGGACAGCCCTAAGTACAAGGTGATTCCCATCGTCCTCCCACTGGCCAGAGCTGACAGGACCAAAAATGGAATGGACTTTGAACCAAGCTAGCACCCTGAGAGACCCAATCAACTGAATGATGATGGGCACTTGAAGTGAAAGGCCCAAGGGGCTGGAGTTAGTCAGCAACACCATGTAAAAGCAGAGGTTACAGCAAAGAGAAAAGCCACAAGTAAGCAGAGAAGCAAAGGAATGGAACATATACACTCAGAAAAGGAAGAAAAGACCATGCCACACTACAAGAGACAAAAGAAGATAACATAGTTAGTGATTTTCTAGTTAGGGTTCCAGCAAGGCCAGCTTTACTTTATTTCCTAACCTTGGATGTCCAAGAGCTTGCCTATTGTATATCTTCAAAAAAGCCCCTTTCTACTTAGCTAGTGTGAAATGGGATATTGTTCCTTGCAATCAAAGGGCCTGGGCTTACTAGCTGAGTATTCTTGAGCATTAAGTTTTCCAAAATACTCTCCACATGTTGTTGTGAGAATCAAATGAGGTAATATGTGTAAACCACTACACAAACCCTCCATTTTCTTGGCTTCCATTTTAACACAATCTTATAGTCTCCCTCCTAGCTCTCTAGTTATTTTTCTCAGTCTTCTTTGCTGCTTTATCCTCCCCTTCCCAACCTCTTAAGTGCTGGAATGTCCCAGGGCTTTGTTCCAGGCCCCTTTTAATTTTCCATCTTCACTGTCTCCTTAATCATATCTAGCCCTACAGCTTTAAACAGCAATTATGTCCTGGTGATTTCAAAATTTCTATCTCCAGCCTTGACATCCAGACTCATATATCCAAGTGCCAACTTGATAGCCTGAATTTAATGTCCAACTCGTGTCTCTCAATTTCCACCCTAGAACACTAGTTTTTTGTTTTTTTTTTAATGGTGGGAGTGTGGTTTATTAAGCTGTGCCTTAGTACAGGCTCTGAGGTTTGCCCATGGTGCTTTTAATGTACAAAATGTTCTGCCAATTTTTTTCTTTTTTTTTAAAATAAATTTATTTATTTATTTTTGGCTGCATTGGGTCTTGGTTGCTGCACGCGGGTTTTCTCTAGTTGTGTCGAGTGGGGGCTACCCTTTGTTGCAGTACGTGAGCTTCTCCTTGTGGTGGCCTCTCTTGTTGCGGAGTACGGGCTCTAGGCGCATGAGCCTCAGTCGTTGTGGCATGCGGGCTCAGTAGCTGTGGCTCGCGGGCTCTAGAGTGCCGGCTCAGTAGTTGTGGCGCATGGGCTTAGTTGCTCTGCAGCATGTGGGATCTTCCCAGACCAGGGATCAAACCCATGTCCCCTTCACTGGCAGGTATATTATTAACCACTAGGCCACCAGGGAAATCCCCTGCCAATTTTCTTGAGCAATGACACCAGGAAGTTGACAGCTAAGTGGATGTTGTACACAACTCCTCATCTGTCATCTGCATGTGGCCAACAGCCACTGCCAGACACAGCACTTCTTCATCTGGAACTTGATTGTGGACTTCACTTCATCAACTTTGGCCACCATGTTCTCATTGTGGGTCATCACGGAAGGGAACTTGCCAGCCTTATTCAGGCATGGGTCCAGGATTCGTCGGATCTTCTTGATCAGAGACTCTGAGGTCAAAAAGGCATCATACTTCTTGGCCAGCTTCTTGACCAGTTTTTTATTCTTGTTGAGTTTCCTTAGCACCTTGATGCCCATGTGGGGTATATCCACAGCCTTGGCCTCATCACAATGCTGCTGGTCCCCCAGAACACATATGGAGAACTTGGGGCAGGGAGTGGACTTAAGCCCAGAGCATCCACATTCACCAATAGCTAGTCTGGCTTCCCAAACTAGCCGGCAGCCTCAGCCAAGGCCTCCCCACACCTCCCCTCTTGTTTGTTTTTGTTGTTGTTGTTGTTGTTGTTTTAATTTATTATTTCTTGGCTGCACTGGGTCTTCATTGCTGTGCGCGGGCTTTCTCTAGTTGCAGCAAGCAGGGGCTACTCTTGCGTTGCGTTGCACGTGCTTCTCATTGAGGTGGCTTCTCTTGTTGTGGAGCACAGGCTCTAGGCGCACAGGCTTCAGCAGTTGTGGCGCACGGCCTTAGTTGCTCTGCAGCATGTGGGATCTTCCAGGACCAGGGCTCAAACCAGTGTCCCCTGCATTGGCAGGCGGATTCTTAACCACTGTGTGACCAGGGAAGTCCCTCCCCTCTTGTTTTAAGACCCAGTGTGGGGGTCTGTCCAGCCACACCTGCCTGGAGCAGGGGGTCTGAACTACCCGGGCACTTCAGTGCCACATGTGCCAGGCCATCTCAGCCTCAACCAGAGCCTGAAGGGAGGAGATGGGCACAGGGACACTGAGGGCTGGGTGGGATGAGAATGGTGCCAACCTGGCAGTGCCCAAGAAGCATTTGTCCTTCTGAGGGCCACAGTTGTTCAGGCTGATCTGAAGCTCGACCATCTCCAAAAACTTCCGGGGCTTGCGCTGGCTCCCATGCAGCACTTCCCGTACTGCCTCGTAGAGGGTGTCACGGGAGACTTTGCTGCTCATGGTGCCTCACACCGTGATAACCGGAAAAGTAGAACACTAGTTTCTTTCCAGCATTTCCCTCCTCAAGACATCACATCACAATCTGCCCAGGTGCTAAGCCAAAATCTTAGGACTCACCCTCCATCTGGGCCTAATACCTAGAGATACTCTATCATAGGTACTGTCAATACTGTCTAAAATATACCTAAATTCTTCCACTTCGCTTTATCTGCACTACTGCCACCTAGTCCCAGCCACCATCTCTTGCTACTGTAACAGCCTTTTACTTCATTTCCTGCATCCCCAGCTTCCCTTCTTCAGTCCATCTGGTTTTTAAAACGTAAATCAGGGAGTTCCCTGGTGGTCCGATGGTTAGGATTTGGTGCTTTCACTGCAGTGGCCCAGGTTTAATCCTTGGTGGGGAACTGAAATCCCAGGGGGACTGAGATCCCACAAGCTGTGTGGCGTGGCCAAAAAAAACACAAAAAAACAAAAACCCCCCCGACATACACATACAAATGTAAATCAGATCACATCGCTCCCCTGATTAAAATCCTTTGATGGGGGTTCCCTGGTGGCACAGTGGTTGAGAGTCCGCCTGCCGATGCAGGGGACACGGGTTCGTGCCCCGGTCCGAGAAGATCCCACATGCCGTGGAGCAGCTGAGCCCGTGAGCCATGGTCGCTGAGCCTGTGCGTCCGGAGCCTGTGCTCCACAACGGGAGAGGCCACAACAGTGAGAGGCCTGCGTACAGCAAAAAAAAAAAAAATCCTTTGATGGCTTTCCATTGTTCTTGGAATGATATCCACAGTCTTACCCTTATCCTACAAGTTCCTGGCTTCTGGAACTGGAGCTCCTGATGATCTGGATGGTATGGTATGATCTGGCTCCTAATGTTCTTTCCTTTTTTTTTTTTTTTTTTTTTTGGTCTTCTTTTCTAATATTCTTTCCAAACTCATGCCACTCTTGCTCTGTGCCAGCCACACCAGCCTCCTTTGTTCTGAACCCATTCCTACCTCAAGCTCTTTGCAGTGTGCCTCTGCCAGTAACAGTCTTTCCCCAGCTTGCCTTGGCTGATTCATTTTTGTTCTTCAAGTCTCAACTCAAATGATACAACCCCAGAGTGCTTCTCCCTGACTATTTAAAGTTGGCTTCTATTTCAACATGATTATTTCCTTCAAAGCACCTCTCACACTGTGTAAATACAGGGTTCACATATTTAATCTCTCTCCGTATAATGCAAGCTTCTGAGAGCAGTCCTGTCTTTCCCCCTTCCCTTCCTCCTCCTTTCTTGTTCACTGCTACATCCTTGTCACTTGGCATAGTGCCTAGAGCTCATTAAATATCCCAGGAATGACAAAATTATAGTAGGATCAAGACACTGAACATAATGTGTGATAAATATGTTATAAATGAACACAACTAGTTAAGTTTTATTTGCATATCACAATCATCTTTCAAGGACAGCTCAGCTGCCCCAAGAACTCTAGAGACCACCCTTGACAATGCAGGCAGAGGTAGACACTCCAGTCTTAGCTTCTGCAGCACCCTGTGCACACTCTGTCCTAAACACATAATTCTGTAACCCTCACTGGCCTGTCTCCCCACTAGCCTGTAAGTTTCAAGAAGAGACTGATTTTATTTTTTATCCCAATATGGCAAGAAACGCTAAACAAATGAACAAAGTCTGGTGCTTACTAGCAGCTCTGAAAAACATTTGAGGGGCTTCCCTGGTGGCACAGTGGT